GTGTGCTGACTGTTTGATGGCCGACATTTGCATCCTTAATTGTTGCAATTTCATCACGTGCGTTGGATGGTTGTGTGATGATTGCTCAACTATCTGACGCACCGACCCTGGTGTTGGGACAATTGCTCCCATGTGCGCTCCCCGCATGGCTAATTACTCCGCCTAAGCGAAGTTGCAGCACCGAGTATGGAAGTGGAAGTTCCCTGCACTTTTTAATGGACTGGGGGCCAGTAAGCCATGATCCAAGTAGCTCCAGGCTCACGCGGTTGTCACCTCTTGCGAGACTTTCGGCCTTGTCGAATTTGAATGTGTGTCGGATCTCTTCGAATGAGCCGCAACTTGAGAGCTGGCGTCATTTCTCCGCACCACTGCAGCGTGTTCGGGCATTCTCGTTAGGAGCTGTCTTCCGGTTTCTCCGACGTATTTGCTTTGTGCGCAACTGCATCAGATCCGATAGACGACTTCAGGCGTTTCTAGCCGTGGCAGTGGGTCTTAAGGTTTAATTACCAGACGCCTGATGGTTGCCTCCGGTCTGTATGCAACGCCAACCCGAAGTGTTGCGAGAAGGCTGCCGACAGCCTCCGAAACGTTCTTGGACCTGGCGATCTAGACAATCGAACTGCTGCTACTTAGCAAATACGATGAAACGGAGAATCGTCTTAGACACACCCAAATCCTACAGCTTCAGAAGGTCTGTCTCAGGACGTACTTCAGGTTCGACGGGACAATCTACGAACAGGTGAAGGGCACACCAATGGGTTCGCCGGATCGACATTCATCGCCGAGGCGGTCCTGAAACGTTTAGTGTCACTGGTCTTCTAACACCACAGACCGAAGATCTGGGCCCGGTATGTGAATGATACATTCGTCGTTATCGAACGGGATCAGGTGCTGACATTCAAGGAACGTCTGAATGCGGTCTTCCCGGACATTCAATTTACGATGGAGGAGGAAGAGAACAACCAGCTGGCCTTCCTGGATGCCCTCGTATGCCGCGAAGATTGTGGTGAACTAAAGACCGAAGTGTTCAGGAAAGCGACAAATACGATGCAAGTACTGAACCTAAACAGCAACCGCCCAATCAGCCACAAATGCAGTTGTGTGAGGACGCTCTATAGGCCAGTCGAAACGCACTGCAGTGAGCCGGAAGACAAGACTGCCAAACTACTTTACCTCCGACGGGTCGACGACTCGGCGCACTTTCTTCACACTAAACAATCCGACACGCCTGAATCTATCACGGTGCTCTGAAAGCCGTGGCGGGAAAGGTTGCCAACTGACGGGATAACTTGGACCTCGTAGTCGGTCCAGCGTTGTGTGTTCGCGTGGGACGGACGGTTGGTGGTCTAAGAGTCAGGTTGTAATGGCTCCTTCTTAATGTGGTCCTTATGGCCCTCCCACTCCGTGGAATCCGAGCTAGGTGTGGCGGCATGCTAATGTGCGGATCCGGCCGTGCCAGTTGCACTTTTGTTGTTGTTGTTTGCTAAAATCCTGGCCGTTTGCTGTGTGGACCAGGAGGTGTGGAGTAGAGCTCCAGGGGGCATGTTCGACCGTGCCATCCACCTGCGCCCTCTATCACCTTCACTTTTCTTGACTCTGTCTTGACACCGGGTCCAGGTGCTGGAGGAGGAGGAGACAGTGCGGTAGATGCTGCGCAAGTCTAAACTCCCTATAAACTAAACCACGCACAAGTCACTGTGCCTTCTTCACCTTGCTCCGTAGCACACGTTGGACATCGTCAGGATCTAGGGTCGAACTGTCGTGTGTGTGACACTGAAAGAGACTTCACTCTCAGACGGCAAACTGCTACACTAGTTGCCTACTATTGTAATTTTTACGAAAAAAATCAAAACTCCACTGGCTCTAACAGAGTGATTGTTATGCCTTGGGGTCACAAGTGCAAGCTGCCACCGTTCTGTTCTATAGTCGAGACTGATCGACGAACTACCCCGCCCACGTCACCTAGTATACTCGATCGCAGTTGTGAGGGCGTGAGTCCATAACTCCATTGACGAGTCGCCAAACCCGATCTTTTCACGACCAAGTAACTTTTGAAGTCTTACAATGCCCATGCTGTGTGTAGTACTAACCGCTGCAGCTGCTGTTGATGATGGGGATGGTAGCGATGCTCATGATATTGATGACGAAAATGATGACGAATCACAAACCACCAATGTCCATTTCATGTGGAATTATACTACTTCGGTAACACTTATTGGTAAAACGCATTGTTTCCTGATATAAAAACGCAAAAGATATGCCTGATAAGCATATATCTTTGAATGCTATTTAATTAGAAATTTGCGCATTATAAATATGCAAATTTTGCGCTAAAAATTCGCTACGTAAAAAAATTTCGAATGTTAAGTCGGATCGTTGGCGACAGCCTCCATCCCAGGCCACATATTCATAGCAGTCGCATATCTACCGGTCGCCTCGCTAGAACACTGTTTCAGCAGAAACGACTTGAACGGGCAGAAGTACCTGTCAGTCCAACCTTCGGCTTCTGAAATATTGCTACCATTTTCTCAACTTCGCTTATGCCGGGATTCGAGGAAGCCCGTACACAACACACAAAAGGCCGCATGATGACTGCCTTAAATGCGGCCTTGTTATGTACTTCTCGGATCTATGTTCGTGTGTCCATGAGTAGAGTTCCCGCAAAAATAGTCAGTATACTGAAACATCGACTTCGTTCATGTCTTTTGTGCTACTGCTGAGGCTCAACCCGGATGCTTATCTTGTAGCTGAATTGATTAGCGTCTGATCGAGACAGTCAGAAGAGGTACGCAGAACTCTGTGGATCTCCCATGATCCTGACGAATTAAATGGCAAAGATGGCATCTCAGAAGCAGCCAATACAATCTCCCACTAGGTGTCGCATGCACGTCCGAAGAAATTAATACTGCAAGCAGAACACTGTCACGCAGCGTAGGATACTGAGGTGGGTGAGAGGGAGAGAGCAGCCTTAGTTTAATGCCAAGATCGAAAAAATTTCGACTGACTGATCCCCTACTGTAAAGGTAATAGAAGTTGGCGAGATTTCACCAACATCGTATGGGCAGGAGGGCAGTTTCAAATGCAACGGGATGCCCGGATACCGGCTACCGTCGAAAGGCCCTCCAGAGGGCAGTCCCAGACTATGTACTAAGCGAGCATTTGCAAATTTGAAGTGTCTGCCGGCGAAGTTGTAGGCGCCAAACCAGGAAGAATATAATTTGATTTTTCTTGATTGCATTCTTTATAAAAACCTACAGTAGGTAGGCTAACTCATGAAATGTCAACCGAAATTCCGAAATGATTAATTAAGTATGATTGTAAAGCTAACCACGTGCAGCATAATTCAATAGTAAGTCAGTTTACACAGGATGCCGGCTTTCGAGCGAACTTCTTTCCGGCTACATGCAGAATCTATACTCTCTAAAAAATGACTACTTGTGTAGCATGCATTTTTCTCATTGATTTTCGATGCCCTTAAAAATTCAATTATATTTCCTGAAAAACATGCATAAAGTTGCACATTCTTTCGCTTATTCGAAAGAAAACTACGTCTTATTCCAGCTTTATGCTCGAACAAACGGTATAATTCGGGTTTTAAAAAGTTTCCAATTGCGAGTTTTTTGAAAACCCTGAAATGGCCGTCCATAAAACAACATGTCTCTGCATTTGCCAATGTGGTTTGTAAAGGCAGCAATATGGCTCAAATCCACTGCTAAATTTTATGAACCCCATATAGTCTCCTCTTAGTACCGTAGAGAAATGTATGGTTTTCCATAAGCGGAAAATATGCGGCTTGTAGTTTGGAAACCCTGAATACAACTGTAACTGCAGATCGGGTTCAAAATTAATTGGGAATTGGAAAAGTTTTAGAAAAGCGAATTATACTAATCCTTCGAGTAGGAACTTGGAAGAAGACGTAGTTTTCTACCGAAACGGTTAGAGAATGAGTATTTTAATGCATGCTTTCTATGAAATATAATTGAATCTCTAAGGGCATCGAAAATCAATGGGAAATTGCACGCTACTTAATTAGTCATTTTTTACAGATTGTGGTTTTTGCAGGCAGCCGAAAAGACGTTCGTCCGAAAGCCTGCATTCTGCGGTAACTGAATTATCATAGAATTTCGATGCAAGACGATTAGTTTTACAACCTTACTTAACTGATCTTTTCGAGGCGAAAACGCATTTCGGAATTTCGGTTGACATTTCATGAGTTAGCCCATCTACTGTACATGGACACGTGCGAAGAACGCCTGAGCGCAGCTCGCTCCGTCCATTTTGCGACAAAAGAGATAATTTGCGCGAATGCCGTTTTTCTTTCCTGCAAACCGAATTCGTTTTTATGGAAGTTGTTAACAGTAGGGAATACGCAACTTTCGCTCCAGAAGGAAATGTCGGTAATTGTGTGCACATAGCTTTGTCGAATACTTACGCGAGCGTACAATGAACCATCTGCTGTGACGTGCTTAATTCAGTCGTCAAGACAGTTAAATACTCAAGTGGATTTTGCGGGTCATTTTCAGACCAGGAGTATTGTACTTGAAGATGCTGTGGTCAGGAGATCGGCGTACGCGTGTATATGAGGAATTATCTGTTTCGTGGTCGCCTGG